TGCACACTCCAGTCTACCAGGGGAGTGAGAAGATCTAGGCAGAAGGAACCATGACTCAGTTCTGCATCTTCTCAAATACACTGTGGCTTTACAAAGCCAAGCCCAATTCTAAAGCAATATAGTTTTTGTGCTTGATCAGAGCTAGGACACTGTTCTGCACAGAAGATGGCCTGTCATCTAAGTAATGTCTTTGATACACATCTTAGCTAGCCTCCAATCTATCACTATTCTGAGTTTTCAGACCCCAAAAGTGCCAGCGCTTCCTGATGGAGTGACTACCCAATTTTATTAAATTTATTTGTTATAGGAAGCATTGATCTTTCATTACTTTGTGGACTTTCAAGATAACCCTAATCTCTCTCTCTCTCCATCTCTCTTACACACACACACACATACACACACACACACACACACGTTTTTAAAGGATTGAGTCCAAAGACAGGACAAATTCAAGAAAAGAATTATGACAGAAAAATATTGAAGAGATAAATTGTACCAAAGTTTATTTGAAAACATTGCTAAAATTCTAAAAATGATTTATTTTTATTATGTGTCCATGTGAATATTTTTTCTTGTGGATGCCAGAAGAGGGCATCATATCCCTTGGAACTGGGGCTACTGAAGGTTATGAACCTCCCAGTGTGGGCACTGAGAACCTAAGTCAGGTCCTTTGGAAGAGCAGGGCATGCTCTTGACCACTGAGCTATATTTCTAGCATTGTGTGGCTAACATCCACTGTGGAAAGTTGCCTTACTTAATGGAAATTCTGACATGAAAATTGCTATTGAAATACCGCATGTTAAAAATGACCATCTTTATTTCTACTTAAGTAAACAATGGATAAAAGTCCACATGTCCCTCAAGAATGGCTTAAAAACTTGGTAGGGGTGAGTCAAATAGAGCTACCCACAGGCAATAGGACACTGGATAGATTCAGACTGAGCTGTCTGGAACCCTCACTGTAGCTTTGGCTTCATTGTGAATTGAGTTCTGCTTGGATCAGCAACAGAGGCCAAAGCACATGAGCTAACCACATGGGACAGGATGTGCAACAGGCAGAGACAGAGAGGCACCCCGATCTCCCTGGCCTTTGTAGAATAGGAAAGACACCAAGAGCTAGAGGGTACTGAAACATTAGCTTGACCCTTCTGCGGCTGGTTGAAAATGCTGGTTATAGATGGTAGATACTGTCATTAAGTTAGGGGGCAGTGCTGGAAGGCAATGTGGGAATCTGTAGAAAAAGCAAGGATCTGTGTGGGTAACGGGAACTTAACCCAGTACAGCGGTGCACCCCTGTCACTCCAGTACTTGGAGGGTAGGGAGAGATGGGGTGTTAAAAAGGCCTCCCTCATCTGCCTGGCAAGCTCAAGGTCAACCCTATCATACAAAACAAAACACCCCAAACCCATGGACTGGAGAGATGACTCAGTGGCTAAGAGCACTGGCTATTTTTGCAGAGGACCCAAATTTGGTTGCTAGCATCCACGTGGGGACTCACAACCATCTATAACTCCAGTTTCCGGAGATCTAAAGCCTTCTGACCAGCAAGCACTAAGCGCATGTATGATATGCATACACAGACACAAGCAAACATTCATACACATCAAAAATAAGTTTTTACTACTCCCACCAAACACAAAGAACAGCTCTTCCTTTGTGCACATAAATAATGCAAATTTAAATATTTTAACAGAGATATTTTGATTTTCATAAAGTCAATGTTCTTATCTTCTATTAGAACCCAGTTGGAGCATAAGCCATAAGACCCTGCCACCTGCTGGAGGGGAAAGGAATCTTTTGAAGGTTGAGGCTGCAAAAGGTATAGGCTGAAAGCGAGCCCAGTTCAGATGTGACTTGGACAGCACTGGAGACTGGCTAGTGCATGAATTTCCCATCAGTGATCTTAGAACAAAAAAACAGAGGAGGTTTGGGAAGATGCAAGGATGCCCCTCAGTGGACCCAGAGTGGGCTAAAGTGAAGGCAAGGTGGGATGCTGGCTTCAGCATCCAGCAGAGGCTATGGACGAACAATCTGTCCATTCTGTGTGAATCCACAGGAGCTAACCAAACCCAGCCTCACTAAAGATCTGATGTATACAGCTCTAATGCTTGTACTCTGCAAGCTTACATCAGACCTGTCTTTGAATTCCTCCAAAGTGGTGACATTAGGGACATGGGCTTGGAGGAAGCCAGCCAGCCCTGCACTGGGATTCCAGCTGTGGGGTGCTGGGCCGGTGACTCAACCTCTCTGGGCTCTCATGTCATTTACCGATAAGAATGCCTAAAGCTAAACGCTTAACACTTAAGGTGCAGGGGCCAAGATCCACAAACACAATCAGGACATGATGGTGAGTATTACAATTATTTTATATAAGAAATATCTGAAGCAGAGTCTGGCGAGAGGCTTGTGCAAGTGCTTGCTTTGTAAGCCTGAGATCTAGCGGGATCCCTAGAACCCTGTAAAAAAAAAACCCTGGGCACGGTGGTGCAGAACTGCAGTATCAGTGTTGGGGCCGAGCGGGGACAGGCAGATCTCTAGGGCTCATTGCTGGCTTGGTAAGACACTGAGAGACTCTGTCTTAAGAAAAAAGCCCCAAGGTGAACAGTGGCTAAAATTAACTTCTGGCTTCCACATACATGCTCACACGTGTGCACATGCACTCTCTCAGATACATGCACCACAACGTACGTACACACACACACACACACACACACACACACACACACACACACACACATAGTTACTCACTGGAGTTGGGCTCTCATAGGAAGTGAATGATGGAATAGTGGCTAAGCCCAGAGCCCAGCCTTTTCCACTGCCCCCAGATTTGCCAGCTGCTTTACCTAACACTCAGACAAAATTCTTGGAATCCATTTCTCCCGAGTCCTCCCAGATGCAGTAAAATCTTAATATGTCAGGTGTAAGCTGTGTGTGGAGCTTTATGAATTTATGTAAGGCAGAATGAAAGATCCAGCAAGTTCCACACACTCATTGCTCCCAGGATGGGGGATGAGTCTCAAGCCATCACTCCGTCCTTGAGGGCCACGGCCTTTGAGGATGTCGTCTGCTTTAAGCTGGGTAGGATGACTCCCATTCCTAGAGCAGCTTCTGAGGTTCTCTGATATGCAAATACTTCGCTTTTTATAGGTTGAGTTTATTGTTTGAAATTATGTGTTATGTATGTGTGTCTCTGTGAGTGCAGGTACACACAGAAGCTTGAATAGGAAGTTTGGTGCTCTGCAGCTGGAGATACAGGCAGTTGTGAGTGGCCCGATGTTCATGCCAGGAACTGAATTCCTGTCCTCTGGAAGAGGAGCGGGCGCTCTTAGCCACGAAGCCATCTCTCCACATCTTCCCTTGCCATGGATACTTTCTGTTTACTATGTTCAGTCATGCTCAGTTTCTTTGGTTTAATACCACGAATAAACCAACAGCCCCATTCCAACACATTTGTCCTTTGTCTCTGTGCAGGCAACTCTTTGCCTGAAGTCCAAATGAAGCTAAGTCCACCATGTTTATTTTCGAAGAACATGCCCGCATTCTGCCTAAGTGTAGCAGAGAACAGACAGCAGTCTAAATATCCATGCTGTGGCTAAAGCTCTCTTCTGGAGCGACATGGTTCAGCAGCACCTGCTGCTGTTTCTTGACGTTTGTCAGGAAAATGTTGTGTCTCAACCTCAGCATCTGTAGAAGCTGCAGGATGAGGCCAGCACCACAGTTCTCTCTTCCAGGGTAAGCCCTGGGTACCTATCCTTCTCAGAGCATCGTCAGGGGAGAAAGAGAGCACAGAACAGAATGTAGGAGGCAATGGTAGCCCAGGACCAAGATGCCCAAAAACAAATGATGGCGACTCGGGGATGGGAGTGGGCAGAGGGAGCAGCCGGTAGGGAAGAGACAGAAAGGGTAAGTATGCAAACAACACAGTCACATCTATGGGCTTTCCAAGGTCAGCACTGCTGCTGACTCTTAATCTGGGCCAACGGCTTCACCAAACTTGACTGGTGTCCTAATCTGTGGGACGCAATGGCTAGGTAATATAATTATATTGCCAATATAGAATGAAATGTGCCTTCCTGGAGCTGAAAAATCTGTCAACAGTCCTGCTCATGGTTTCCCTTTCGTCTGTGCCCTTGGACTCTAACCCTGTACTTTTTTTTTTTTTTAGATAGGGTCTCCTGTAGCATAGGCTGACTGCAAAACTCTGCATAGCACAGATGACCTTGAGCTTCTGATCATCTTGCCTCTGTGTCTCAAGTGTTTGGAATGCAGGTTTGTGTCACCATGCCAGATGTATACAGTGCTGGAGCCAGACCCAGGGGTTAATTCAAGCTAGGCAAGTGCTCTGCCAGGCGAGCTATGTCCCTGGATCACCTACTTGGGGAGCCCAGGTAGGCTTAGCAACACAATTCAAGGCCATGAAACAGCACAAGGATGGGTGATCCGATCAGAAGCACCGAGAACTTGCTTCTGGGAACAGTCATGTCAGTGAAGAGCATGAACCACAAACACACACCGCTCTTGAACTGCTGGGCAGAGCCAGTTCTTTCTCCCTGTGACTCATTTCTTTGGTTCCTTTCCCAAGGCACTTCTGGAGCTATGGCCACAGTAGCCTATGCACCAATATGAAGCTTTGTTTCTGATGTCATGTGGGGAAGTAAGGGACTTCCTTCCTATTAGTGAGGCTAGAGCCAAGAGCCTGCCCAGGCGAGCTGGGTTCCATCCGGCGTGTGCACCCCATGTGGAGACACGGGTGATCTTGCTCCACAGAATCAGAGCAAGGAGCGGGCATCACTGCTCTAGGGAGGAGATTTCCCAGAGGTGTTAGCAGCTGGACTAAGTAACTTCTGCTAACTTGGTCCTGTTATCAAAAGAAGAGCCACAGGGCTTTTCCAATCCATGGTGCCCCGTTCCTGCCCTAAGGACTGGGCAGAGCCTCAGTGTCCTCTGTCTCACTTTGGTCTGCAGATTCCAAGGGAGAGAACAAGGAAGAACCATCTTACCCATGAGGAATTTTGCTCAGGACATAATATCCAGTGTGGGAGTGTTGATAAACCTGCAAGAGAGGAGAGAAAAAGCAAGCACTGAGACAGAGGTCGTGATTGCTGGCTTTCCAATCTCTGAATCCTAACAAACACCAGAGGCCAAGGGCAGCTTAGCAGAGACCTGCAGGCAAAGCCTTACTGACAGTTTGCATACCCTGTAAGCAGCACTTCCACCGTTCACCAGGTTTATCAGGAAGCCGGAGGTTTGATGTCATCTCCATGGTTACCTGGTTAGTGATTAAATTAGGAAGTCTGTATTTCCATCCAAACTAAATACAGCACAGAACTAATGGGGGCATGGGGTCATCGGAGCTCACTGGACATGGTCTGAAAGACCTGGCAGGACAAAAGACCTCTGAAAATTTGAGGGCTCCTCTGGGGCCTCAACTTTAGGCCTGCAGTGAGCATGGAACTGGAGGCAAGACCGGGCACACTCTCCACCTTCGATCCAATTTGATGGACATTTTCTGGCTCCTGAGAGTGAGCAGCCAGGGCTCATTGCAGGAGGAAAGTTAGAAACAGCTGGTGTTGAAAACAGAAAGCGCAGGAAATCGGCACAGTTTCCAAACGTGTGGAGCCCCCAAATTACAGAGGTCTCTCTTGATCTTTTGAGACAGGAGACTATTTCCTAAACTGTAAACAGTGAAGAGAAATCAAGGGGATGGGGACACAGCAGCTCAGGAAATGTCAGCATGCCCCTCCAGCTCTGGACAGAGCCTCTTCTTCTCTAGGGTAGAGTGAGATCCTGCTTCACCCCCACTCTTGTACCCGAGGGGCTTCTGAGGGCAGATGCCCTGTGTGGAGGGATGCCCAGCAGCTAGCACAGAATTCTGACTTTCTAAGGCTAATGCTAGGTTTTGAGCTGTGTAAGCCATGAGCATCTGTAGCCGCCCTTTTCTGTTGGCTGCTGCAGATGAAACGGCAATCTACTGAGAGCTGGTCCAAGAATGAATGTCTGTACCCTGATACCCTCCCCAGAGAATGGTGGGCATCATTCTCACCCTGTCCTGCACCAGGAAAGTTTACAGACTTCCAGTTGTCAGACTCCAGGGCATCAGAAGGTATGGCGGCACATCCCCTGCTCATACAACGGATACACCTTAACTAAATGTGCTCTTTCACCCTATCCTCGGAGTCCGGCATCCCTTCCTCAGAGTTCTCGCCACTCCTTCCATCCAGGAGTCAGAGACAGCCTGGCTGTAGACCACTGGTCAAACAAGTGGTGTGAAAATGTCCCTCTTCCCTTGAGACCTATGAGAGCGAACCCCAGTCTGCCTGCTGGGCCTGAAACGACGACATCAGAGTTGCTGCAATGCTGCTGTCTCCATCAGTGTGTGAATGCAATGTTATACTGTCCTTCTTTCCTCCCACAGCAGGAACCTTCCAGATACTAGATAAGATGTGCAGATGAAGGATGACAACGGATGCAGTGAGCCCTGCACGGGGCTGGGGATGAGCTGTGCTGCTGCTGCTGGAAAGGAGCCTACCGAGGAAGACAGCTGGGGTTGCTACTGCAGAGTCTGGCCTGTATGGACCACTGAACCAACTTCCAGGGCATTATAGAGGGCAAGGAATTATTCAGAAAAACGGATGCAGATATAAAAGCAAACAGTGGTTAAATGCCAACCATATTGTCCTTCTAGAGATCTTGAGATCCCTGAACCAGGCACATGGGGCCCAGGCTGGCCTTTTGGATGGCAGTGGGTAGGGAGATGCTGTTCTGTTTCAAGACATCTAGCATTACTCAGGTCTTTATTACAAGTCCAAGTTCACTGTGGTCAACGGAAAGATCCAGGGTAGCAACAGATAAAGAAATATGCAAAATGCCTTCTGCATTCATTATGCAAAGGAGAGCTTTTTTCCTACCGCGGGTCAACGGCAGAAACTCATCCCCTGGTTGACTCATCTTTTCAGTCTGCCTTCAATATGCGACCAAACAGCACTGCAATTCTGCAAGCAATTCTGGAAGCAATGACAATGGAAAGACTGGCAAAAAACAAGCTGACAAGAGCTTCGGCAAGAAGAAAGCGACAGAAGAGCTTTCCATTCTCAGCTGTAGGCCTGCACTAGCGAGGAAAATGACACATTGTTGGGAACTGACAGAAAATATCTGGAAAAGAGACCGATTGACTATTATGCCCCAGCAAAAGACATCTGGGTATAACTTTTTCCTTTTCATTATCTCCACTGTTGGTCTCATCTCCATGGGGATATTGGAACTCTAGGGACTGTGTCAGAGGTCTGAGATGCTTCTGGAACCAGTGAAGTCAGTCAAAATATGATGAGGAAAAAGTCTGAGGGAGGGGTCGAGAGAAAGCCCTCCAGAGCTGTATGTTCTGCCTTCTTCCCAAGCTGCTCACATCCTTGTCCTGTCCTTGCAGCCCATGCTTGTCCTCACGTTGGCAGCTGCTTTCCTACTTCACTGCTCTCCTGTCATGCTGCTCTGCCAGGACTTTCTGTTGACTCGCAGCTGATTTTCCCCGAGAACACACACCGTCTTTCTTGCTGGCTGACTGTATTTTTTCTGTTGTTGTTGTTTCCAGCATACACCTTCCATAGCAAAGGCCATGGAGAGACACAAAGCAAAAGCAAACACAACTTCCTAGTACCCTGCAGGTCTTCAGGTCTTATGAAACATCTTTCTTCATTCCTTGCCTTGACCTTCACGACAAGTTCTGTCTTAGTTATTTTTCCATGGCTGTTGCAAAACACCACAGCCAAGGCAAGGCATCTAAGAGGAAGTTTATTTGGAGACTTAGAGCTTCAGGGTTATGACTGTCATGGCAGGCGCATGACAGCAAGCAGACAGGCATGACATCTGATCCACAAGCCTGAGGCAGAGAGGTAAACCTGGGAATGGCATGGACTTTTGAAACCTCAAAGCCCACTACCCCCAGTGACATACCTCCTTCTACATGGCCATACCTCCTAATATTTCCCAAATAGTTCCATCAACTGGAACCAAACATTCAAACCTATGTGCCTATGGGCGCCATTCTGGTCATTTCTAGCCAAACCACCAAGGTTTGTCATAGGAGCAGCCTTTCCTGGCTGAAGAAACTGAGTATCAGAGCCACAGATGAAGTGATCCAAGGTAGCATAATGTAGGAGGAGAGCTCAGAGCTTCAAGTGTACACACACCTAAGGCTATTTCTATAACACCACCATGCTGGCTGGAAAAGCTCTCCCATTGGTCACCCTGTCTCTGCCAGCCACAACTGCCTTATGAAGGACTCAAGTTCTCTGCATCTACCATTGGAGTCGTTGGTGGCTCTCTCTACAGACCAGGGAACTACTGCTAGCTCCTTTCACCTACCTGGAAACTATCACTGAATCTATGGTAAAATTATTCAGCATTACTGATTTTTCCCCTCAAGCTAAAATCTGTATTTGAAACATTTTCTGGTAAGACAGGCAAGTGAACACTGATGAACACATTTGATGAATGCCCACTGGCAATCTGCTGTGTGCAGTGCACTGGAGGAAGGTGTGTGTCAATATCTGGATCAAGGATGTGACTGAGTGGGTCACTGAATGACGTGAGGAAGAGGAGATGAGACGGTACTGAGAACATGACCCGAGAACACGGTGAAGCAGGTGGGTTTTGCACAAGAGCGAAACTCTGGGACATCAGAAGATACCCTTGGTACTCTACTGTGTGTCATGACCAAAATGGTTTTAGTTGTTTTTTTTTTTTTTTTTCAGAGTTTATCCAGGAACTGTACATCAAACTGTTTTCCCCCAACAGTGAAACCCATTTTCTGAGGTCCTTACATTGCCATATTCGAAAGCTGTCTTTATATAGGCCATTAAGTGAAAGTAAGGTCATTAGGACAGGTGCTCATCCCCTGTGACCGGGGTGCTTCTATCAGGGACAAAGAGGGGTGTAGCGACGGCTCAGTGAGTGAAATACTTGCCATGAAAGCATAGGACCTGAGTGTGACTCTTCAGAACTTTTGTGAAGCTGAATCTAGTAGCATACACCTGCAATTCCAGCACCCCTGTGTCGAGATAAGAGGCAGAGGCAGGAGAATTCCTAGAAGATTGCAGATGGGCTTTCCAGGCAAGGCAGCCACGAATAGTCAAGAGATCACGTGTCAAACAAGATGAAGGTAATGATTGGCACACCAGGTTGCCCTATGGCTTCCACATAGGCGCTGTGGCACATTTACCCCCACACTCCTTCTTTCTCTCTTACACACACACACACACACACACACACACACACACACACACACACTCCCATGGACAGAGACACAGGTGCGGACTGAAGGAGGATGACATGAGGAGTCACAGCGAGTTCCTGGGAGGAAGAGCAAGGTCTCAATGGGACATAGAACAGTGGAATGCCAAGAGACACCAGGCATCACCCACCACCAGCAGCTGGAAGGTACCAAAAGGGTTGTCCTCTATGGGGCTCACATTGCTACGACTTTAACCCCTGCAAACCACAGTGGCCTCATACATCACTAGGGCCGAGTGAGGTCATCGTCCACAGCTTGCTCATTACCACGGTCACTACTCACTTTTACACATAACTGGGGCCAGGTAAGTAGTGGTCAAACCTGGAGTCCACAGGCACAGTGATGACATGGGCCATGGCTTAGTCACTAAAACCCAGTTCTGCTCAAAAGAACCAGGTCATACTGGCCACTCTTGGAGGCTGTGGCTTTCTGATAGTCGGGGATCTGCTGGTGCCCACGCCAGCCTCCTTCCTTCCAACCCCAAAACCCCGTGGGTTTGTGCTTCACAGTCCCTTGAATTCTCTCCTTAATATGAACTTCTTACATTGTGAGAGCAAAATGACTTTCAGAATTTCCTTTAAATCAGCTTTCTAGACAGCAGAGTGTTGCTTGCAGCAGACAATGCACCCCGCCCTTCACACTGGCAGGTGCCACATCCACAGATCAACCAACTACAGAGAGAAAACACTTGATAATAATTTGTGCGTATGCTTAATGCATACAAGCAAAGCTTTCTCTTGTCATTGCTCCAAACAATGTAATAAAAC